AAAGTTCAAACCTGACAAAACTCTGGGAAGAATGTGTAGTAGCAGATTAAGAATAAAGTTGTTTACTTAGCAAACTAGAATCCGTCATAATCATCAATAACCAAGGATATACATTAAATGTTCAAAAGTTATGGCTGCTCTCAGTTGGGCCTACAAAAAATATAGAATTGTAATTTATAGCACTAATATTGTCACAGCCAACTCACCTCACAATTGGATCCTGTTATAGGCTCTTATTGTAAGCTCCTAATAAGGTTAATTTTCATATGAATAAGTACCTTACTCTTCACCCTTCTCAAGAAGTGTGAGTGGTCAAAATATATGACATTCCTAAACCCAGATAAGCTTGAGCAATCAATGTTTCCTGTTTCTTGGCAATGTCAATCTCTGTTCGTGTATATGATATAAACTCTACACACAGTCCCAAAATGAAATTAGTTACCACTCACTGTGGACCATGCATAATCCTTTGAATTTCAGTTGCATACAACTTAAAAGTTATAACGACACTGCATTATTTAATAAACAACAACAACAACAACAACAACAACAAGCCTTTATCCCACTAGGTGGGGTCGGCTACATGGATTGCAAGACGCCATTGTGTTCTATCATTTATTAAGCTTTTAGAAATATTATTAATTAAGAGATCACGTTCAACAACTTCCAAGAGTGTTCTCTTAGGCCTTCCTCTACCTCTCTTAATCGGACTCAAAGTTATATGTTCCACTCTTCTCACTGGTGCCTCCCTTGGTCTTCTTTGTACATGCCCAAACCATCTCAACCGATTTTCTACCATTTTTTCCTCAATAGGTGCCACCCTCACTTTTTCACGTATGTGCTCATTTCGAATTTTATCTTTACGTGTATGTCCGCACATCCATCGTAACATTCTCATCTCTGCTACTCCAACTTTATGCTCTTGCTGTCCCGTTAGAGCCCAGCATTCACTACTATATAACATTGCCGGTCTGATAGCAGTACGATAAAACTTTCCTTTAAGTTTATTAGGCACCTTACGGTCACAAATAACTCCTTTAGCTTTTCTCCAATTAAACCACCCAGCTTGAATTCTATGTGAAATATCTCCACTGATTTCGCCATCATTTTGGATAATGGCTCCCAAATATCTAAACTTTTCCACTTGAGGTATAATTTGATCTCCCAATTTCACTTCCAAATTATTTTCGAATAGTCCTTTATCAAATTTACAATATAAATATTCCGTCTTACTTCTACTCAGACGAAAACCTTTCGACTCCAATGTCCTCCTCCATAACTCAAGTTTGCAATTAACCTCTTCTCTTGTCTCTGCTATAAGAACTATATCATCCGCGAAGAGCATACATTTCGGGATTTCCTCTTGAATATGTTCCGTCAAAACATTTAAAATCAAGTTGAACAAATAAGGACTCAGAGATGATCCCTGATGTAGCCCAATCTTTATAGGAAAATCCTTTGTTTGACCACTAGGCGTTCTTATACTAGTTTTTACCCCCTCATACATATCTTGTATGGCTTTAATATAAGCAATCCGTACTCCCTTTTTTTCCAACGCTTTCCAAAGCACTTCTCTTGGTATACGGTCATAAGCTTTTTCCAAATCAATAAAAACCATGTGTAGATCTTTATCTTTACAACGATACTTTTCCATTAATCCCCTTAGTAGATAAATCGCCTCTGTAGTTGATCTACCTGGCATAAAACCAAATTGATTCTCAGAAATACTTGTCTCCAATCTCAACCTGTGCTCAATTACTTTCTCCCACAATTTCATTGTGTGGCTCATGAGTTTAATCCCTCTATAGTTAGTACAATTCTGAATATCTCCTTTATTTTTATAAATAGGAATTAATGTACTTCTCCTCCACTCATCAGGCATTTTCTTGGACCGTAAAATCACATTAAATAACTTAGTTAACCATCTCACCCCTTCTTCACCTAAACATTTCCACGCTTCGATAGATATACAATCAGGTCCGTTAGCTCTACCATTTGCCATTTTCTTAAGAGCTTCCTTTACCTCCTTATCACGTATTTTTCGATAGAATGACAAATTTTGTTCTCCTTCACCAGTTACTAAATCCTCCAAGTTACTAGATGAATCCTCTCCATCATTGAAAAGTTTAGAAAAATAAGTCTCCCATCTATTTTTAATTTCATCATCTGTAACTAAAATTCTTCCCTCTTCATCCTTAATACACCTTACCTGTTCTAGATCTCTTGATTTTCTTTCCCTACTCTTGGCAATCTTATAAATATTTTGCTCTCCTTCCTTCGTCTCAAGGTTCTTATAAAATTCTTCAAAAGCTTTAGAACGAGCTTCACCCACAGCTCTCTTAGTTTCCTTCTTAGCCATACGGTACCTCTCCCAATTTTCCTCATTGTTACACAAATGTATGGCTTTAAAACAGTTCTTCTTATACTTGATTTTGTCCTGTACACTATTATTCCACCACCAAGACTCCTTATCTCTCGGACCAGGACCTTTCGATTCTCCCAAAACTACTTTTGCAACCTCCCGTATCTTTTTAGCCATATCCTCCCATATGATGTTAGCACTTCCCTGAGAATCCCAAATTCCTTTATCCAAAAGATTTCGCTTGAAAATATCTTACTTCTCACCTTTTAATTGCCACCACCTAATCCTTGGTGTTACTACTTGTCGACGTTTTTGGATTTTACTCATAATACACACATCAAGGACTAGGACCCTATGTTGTGTCGTTACAGCATCTCCAGGGATCACCTTACAATTTTTACAAAGTTTTCTATCTGTGTTCCTAACCAAAAGAAAATCAATCTGCGACCTTGAGGTTCCACTTTTGTAGGTGATGAGATGCTCATCTCTCTTCTTGAAACAAGTGTTGGCAATCTTAAAATCATACGCCAATGAGAAATCAAGAAGAGTTTGCCCTTCATTGTTTAGCTCTCCAAAACCAAAACCACCATGCACCCTCGCATACTGACCAGCTTCCCTCCCGACATGCCCATTAAAGTCTCCTCCAATAAAAATCTTTTCACTCTGTGGTATGTGTCGAATCAACCCCTCCAGATCCTCCCAAAATAATTCCTTAAGACTGGCTTCTGTCCCGACTTGCGGCGCATAAGCGCTAACAATATTAACAGTCTCACGTCCAATTATCATTTTTAAAGAAATAATTCTGTCTCCAATTCTGCTAACTTCTACAACGTTCTTCTTCCACTCCTTATCTATAATGATGCCTACTCCATTGCGTGCACTTACTTTTCCTGTATACCAAAGTTTGAAACCTTGAATATCCTTAGCTTCTTCTCCACGCCATTTTGTTTCTTGCAAGCAAAGGATATTGATTTTCCTTTGAATAAACCACCAACTCATTTATTATACTAGTTCTACTCTTATTGCTTGATTTCTGCATTCATGATTCCAGCTTTATTTTTAAGGACATGCAATATTACTGGACTGGCAAGAGATATTGTAAAGAACAACCATAAGCTGCATAAGATCTATGATAATTCTTTATCCTAAACACATTTATGGGATGACTAAAAGCATACATGAAGTCAAATAATTGTTACAATGATACAATGATATAACAAGTGACTGAAGAAGATGTGGGAAAAAGAAAACCAAGCAGTGATGCGTTTGAACTTTGAGTGTATGTGAGTTGCTATGATAATAAAAGGTATAACTTGATCCCTCACTTGAATGTATAATAAATGGCAAAAAGAAAACAAAGAAGTGATGTGTTTGAACTTATTGTGAATTCTTTTGTTTCTTTCTCCTTTTTTTTTTTCAATTTTTTCCCATAAGTGATTGGAAGGTAAGGGATAAGTTTCATATTGGAATTGTATGAATTTTGAATTTTATCCCCTAACAGCCAAAGCAAATAAAGTTACAATCTTGCAAAAATAGTCATGCACTAAAAAAACAGACATATAAATCTGTATCAACACTTTTCTAATCTTAATGTAGAATCTCATATATTCAAGATCTTGTTTAAGCAATGAGGATGGCATTCATCCCTCTAAGACATTCATTATGATATTTGTCAGACACATTTTTAAAAATAGCTAGTATAAGAAGGCTGGCAGGTGAGAGGTGACTTTTATAACACATATTTCCATTTGCATGCTCATGAAAGACAGTTTTTGAATGTTTAGTATGCCAAGGAACTCTGAAATTCATCAATAGCAGAAGATTTTATGCAGTGCATACGTAGAAGACAAGAAAATGATACAAAATCATATCTACCAATAATTAGGCAAAAATTCTGATCATATCTCAGCACACATTTTAAATTGCATCAAACAACTAAATTATGGTATTGATGCTCACACTCCCAAGTTGCTAAGCCTCCTGTGGTTGAATATAAAAATAAGAAGAACATTATAAAAACAAAAATTGGAGATTCAAGGGCTCAAACATTTCATGCTCATGATAATTAACCTAAAGGACATTTGAACAACGACCCAAAAAACAAACCTATTTAGTAAGCCTAAAGAAACAAGCATTTGGAAACCCTTCAAGAAAATCCAACATAACATTAGAATAGTACACACTCTTAAACCATTATTTATGCTTTATTCACACATTATTTTCATAGTTGTAAAACAAATAAAAGAACTTTTCATGTGGTCCATAATATTCTGCAAGCCATTATCATTTTAGATTGTGTAATTCAAGAAAATTTTATTTTAGCTACAATTTAAAAGCAGAAATGCTAATTCATGAGCAACAACTGTGACACACCTTGAACTTAATAAATAAATTAGAAAAGAGACATGAAGGAAGAAGGCACAAATTTCATGTTAAAACAAAAGTAATAATCATGGTTAACATGTATACAAAGTCAAAAAAATATATTTAACCTATAACTTTGAACAAAAATTCTTGAATGCCTTCCTGGCCATTGAATAATCTAACAATTTAGGTCAGAAAGAAGCAAGAACTTGCTAGGCAATGAAGACAAATTTCAATATGTACAATATAAATACAACTAGAGTATTTGACCTAGTTTTATTGTTTTAGAAGACCACTATCAGTCATTTCAAAAAGAAGCTTCTCCACCTTAGCATTCTCACTCTTTTCCAAAAAGGCTCGGATAAGTGTTCTATATGTTATTAAATCAGGGAGGCAGCCATTCTCTTTCATTTTTTGAAGCAAGATCATACCTTCATCAAGCAAGCCTTCTCTACAAAGGCCATGGATCATAATGTTAAATGCACAAACATCTAGATGATGGCCTTTGACCAAAAGGTATTGAAAAATCTCTTGGGCTGTATCTAGTCTACCACCTTTACACAAACCATCAATGAGTATACTATATGTGTACTTACAAGGCCAAATTCTTTGATCAATAGCTTGCTTAATTAGCACAATTCCCATGTCGAGATTTTGGCTTTTGCAAAATGCATCCAACAAGGTATTATATGTGATTATATTAGGGGGTTGACCACTGGCATACATCTCACATGCAAGATCTTGTGCAGATGACATTCTTCCTGATTTGCATAAGCCATCAATGAGAGCATTGTAAGTTACAACATTGGGGGCAAAGTTTTTCCGGTGCATTTCTTTAAAGAGATCCAAAGCTTCATCGACCATATCAGCCTTGCAGAGTCCATTAAGTAAAATACTATAACTAACTACAGTAGGTGTCAAACCACTTTGGATCATTTTGTTGAATACTTTCTTTGACTCATTAACATTATTCATCAAACAATACCCCTCCATCAAAGCACCATGAGTTACAACATTAGGCCTCTCACCACATTTCATCATCCTAGCAAACAATGCTTGAGCTTCTGTGATCCTTCTCTCTTTACAAAATGCATCAACCAGTATGCTAAAGGTATAAACATCAGGTTTGATGTCTTTCAATACCATTTCAAGGAGCAATTGAGTAGCTTCTTGCCATTTGCCCATACTATAGAAACCGTGGGCAAGTGAGTTGTAAGTGACATTATTTGGTAAAATTCCACAATCAATCATTTTAGAACATAAATCACGGGCCTCATACGTTTGCCCATCCTTGCAAAAACCATCAATTATCGTGTTGTACATAACCACATTAGGCTTAATTCCAAGCCCCTTCATCTTTTCCAGCAACTCAATGGCAGATCTTGTTCTCTTTGTTTTGCACAACCCATGGATTAAGGTTCCATAACTGACTTCATTTAACTGAAATCCTTTAGCCATTAACTCCTCGTGAAAGTCTAGTGCTTCCCCAACCTTGTTACTAACACAGAGTCCTTTAATCAGTGTAGTCAAGTTTATAATATTCGGTTGAAAACCCATCTTGAGAATCTTCCCCAATACTGAGAAAGCAGAGTACACCTGACCCACCTGACAGTAACAATTGATCAATATGCTCAATGTAAAAAAATCATGCGTGAAGCCATTGAGCTCGGCTTGTGCAGAAAGTGAAATAGCAGTGCGATAACGTTTACTCTTTGCAAGTGAACCTAAAATCTTAGTAATCTGGAAACGGAAGGTGGGGGGTGCATACGTATCAGGCCATTGAATGAAGCCACGCCGTCATCGTTGTTATTAGCAAATGGGGTTTGGGAATAAGCTTGGGACTTGAGATTGAGAGAATAAGGGAATGAGAGAAGGATGAGAGATGGAAGTAAGTGAATATGTTTGCGGAAGGCATACCTTAAAGATATGCACATGTTCGCCGGAGCAGTGAGATCCCCAAACAGAGGGGCGGAAGGTAGCCGCCGACGGGAAACTCAAGAAGGTCAGCCTATGAAAATCGAACGTTTTTACCTGAAACACAATTGCAATTTCCCGGACAAAGCCGCTGTTCCGTGATGTGTATTGTGTCGCATGCTGGGATCCGATCTTCATTCTTCACAACTATATAATATTTTATTATTAGTACTATCAATATTATATTATCGATTATATATAGATGTTTTAGTGTTCAGACTTGAGATGAAGACCCATGAAAAAAAGTGTTTATTCCATTAAAAAAAAAACAGTGTTTAGCTGAAGAACTATTTGTAAAAAAAATTATAAATTTATTAGTTTTTGTTGATAAAAAATAAATTTATTAATTTTTCTTCATTGCCTATATGTATTTCTATTTGAGGTGGAGTTGCAAGTTAAAATATGAATATCTTTCTCAATAAAAACTTAAATTTAATTTTTTCAAGTTACAAGTGCTAGTTCTTCTCATTATCAATTAAGCTAGAATAGCTAAATTCGGCCTAAATATTCAATTTTTTATTTTTAAAATCATTTCTTATTATTTTTCACCTTAAAATTAATTATTTTATTTTAAAAAATATAAAATATATATTTTTTGATACTCAAATGATGTATAAGACTCAAATATATGGTATTTTAGTATAAAATAATCTAAAACTTAATTAAATAATTAATACTTATCATATTTTATAAAAATAAAAGTTTTTTATTCGGGCATTCAAGTCAAGCCCGAACCCAATCGGGTTTGGTCTAAATTTTCTCAAACCTATTCAGGTTACCCGAATAGGCTTGAACATAAAAAAAATTATATTTTTTAAGCCCGGCCATAACTTTTTTCGAGTGAGTTTGGGCTAGCCCGTTGAGTTCAGCCCGAATTATCGGCTCTAACTTTTACATATTTAAATATCAATTATTAATATCCCTTACATCTAAATGCCTTTTGGAAGTATATGTATTGTTTCTTTCATGTTATGCTTGACATATTAACACTTTTACATATTTGAATATCATTTTTTCATATTTGAATATCCCTTATTGATATCTATCCCTTATGGTTATGGATACTTTTAGAAGTATATGCGATATTTCTTTCATGATATGCTAGTAATCCTCAATGGAATGTAATTTTCTTCTGCACATTCAAATATCTCTTACTAATATCATTTCCTTATGAATACCTTTAAAAGCATATGAGATATTTCTTCCATGGTATGTGACTGATTTTCAATAAAATGCAATTTTTTTTTCACATATGCAAATATGACTTTTGCATATTTGAATGTCCCTTGTTAATAACCATCCTTTACGAATATTTTCAGAAGCATATGCAATGTTTCTTCCATGATGTACAACTAATATTCAATAGAATGAAATTTTCTTTTTTATATTTAAATAACATTTATGCATATTCAAATATCCCTTATAAATACCTATGAAAATATATGCAATGTTTCTTCCAAGATATGTAATTAATCTTTAATGAAATGATATTTTCTTTCATATATTCAAATATGCTTGTCGCATATTCTGAAAAAAGTCTTAGTGCTACAATTTTACATGAAATGCATTTTATATTCAAATATACTTTTTGAATATTCTTAAAAAATAATCTCAATGTCAAAACTTTACATGAAATACACTTTATATTTGAATATGTTATTTGCATATTCTAAAAATTATACTTCCTTCGTTTAAAAACTTAAGGCATTTTTAATCTTTCGAGGTGTAATTATTGTCTTTTTTTCAAAAGTGTCTATATTGATAATAATTTTATATTTATTATAGAGTATTTAATAGGGGTGCACATGGAAAAATCCCTTAATTTAAAAATAGGTAACTACTTCATTGGGAAGTGAAATTCAGTTAAAAATGCCTTACATTTTTTAATTGAGGGAGTATGATTTTTCACAAAAACACTAATAAATATTCTAAAAATGTAAATGAAAATTTCAAATATTTTCAAATTTTTCAAGAAAACACCAATGGTCACTATTGTTATATGTAAAGCTTAATGACACCAACTTAAAGCATTAAAAAAATAATTAAATACTAACAAATCCATTAGTTATTAGACGATAACACGCTCTTACACCTCTTGGTAACATAACTACGTTATAACAAGAAAATACATAAATAGGGTAGTATTTATTCTTCAAAGCCTTCAAATTTCTCTCCTATTAAGTCATTCTTTTGCTATAACTAGATGATCTTCTTCAATAGGATCCTTGCAACTTAGCGAAGACCGATAAGCAAGCTCATATGGATTTTGCAAGTACACTTGTCAGCATTCATTTGAACTTTTCATGTACAATCAATCCCTACATACTATTAGAATTGATCTCTCCAAGCTATTATGATTTATCCCTACAATATAGAGATTGTTGCCAAAATTCCTTAAGCATTTCCTGAATGCTATTGGCAGTAGCACTGATAGCATCTGATGCATTGTTTGCCCTCACAGACTTCTCTATCGCAACGTCATCTGCTTTCCTTTGTTGAGAGTTGCTTCTTACAGGTCTCTCCTCTTCACTGTGTCCCATACTCTGGATATGAAGTCTCTTTCCCCAGCACAAGCATTGTTGTCATGTAATTTTACCAGGTAGAGAAATAATCATACGCTGAGTTCTCACAAGGAAAACCAACATATATAAAGCTAAGTTTTCCCCTTCATTTCCTTGTAATTTGTGAACAATCAATAACATGCAGCATTTGATAAAGAAATCTAGATATAAATAAATCTAGATATAATGCTCTGGACATGACACTCTTACTATTACTTACAGATGAATTTATCGGATCCCATATTCAATCATAACCATGAGTGATGAGGAACACAAACTACATTTATCATTGCAAAGCCGTTCACCTAGTGAATTGGAGTGAAAGAAGGATGACAATTATGATTCCCCAAAGAACCCCAAATATATACAATTAACCACCGAGTGCTCAGATCAGCTTTGCCCCAAAATTTCTTGTGCCAGTTGAATCATTTATCAAGAAATCGGGCACCTACAGCCACCATTACTTTCTGATAAGATCATGTTGAGTAATTAATTCCTCTCAAAAGACCCCACAATTAACTAAATAAAATCCAATAAATCTCTAGAAGCAGCCAATCCTTCTTTTGCACTTTTGTGAAGCAAAAGATGCTACGTGATTAATCGAACTAAACCCATCCAGCTTAGCTACAAGACAAATGGTAAACATTTTTACTCCAAAGAAGACCAAATGTGTTTGGCAAACCAATAAATCACCATTCCAAGGCATACAATTATAAAAGCAATGACCCACAGTTCGTTGTCAAATCTAAACAAATAGCCAGGTATAACAAGAGTTCGAGCCAAGATTTTTAAACAAGTATTCAATTCCATGCAAGAAACATATAATCACAGTAGGCAAATGTATAACCCAATATCAATTTGGAAGAGGAAGACAAATTGAACCCAAATCCAACAAGCACCATGAATTGAGAATTGGTGCACAAGGTGGCTTGCAGCCAAATCTAACTCTTCAAGGCAATAGACTTCCTCTTCTTAGCCATTACCAATGAAGTGTTTGAGAACTAGATCATAGGATTGCGGTGGCATGAACACAAATCTTGTCGTCGATTCAAGAGAGTGGGATTAGGTGATGATGAATTATGTAAAGGGCGGGCTAGAGAACATCTTTAAAAAGGGCAACAATAGTGGTGGTCTTGCAAGCCCAAACTTAAAGAGGAGGAGGAAGGAGAGGGACAATGTGAGGATAGAGAAGAATAATTAAGTAAGAAAGAGGTGTACAAGGTCCTAAGAAGTAAGGAGAAGAAGAGGGTATTGTTAGTGGTGTAGAAGTCACCGTTGGATATTGTGGTTGGTAGGAGGGGGGAGAAGGGAGAGAATTTGTGACGGCATATTAATCAATTTGAAGCTCTGAATTTATGCCATCGAAAGATCTCATTTCATAAAATTTTTCAAAACTTTATGAGTAATTAAATTTGTGATAAGGTCTTTTTTATTTTGATTGTGTAAATTAAATTATTTTTTCTCATTTTTATTTTGAATGGTAACTAGATTTTACCAAAATACAAAGATTTTGTTTTTACATTGATAATAATTTAATTTATGACCACAAAAAAGTTATCAAACTTTTTAATTGTATACAATTATCTTTCCATTAAAGCCACAAACTAAATGTAATCAAGGAAAAAAATATTAATTTGTTAATGTGAAAATGCACATATTGAATATCTAAAGTAATTTTTTTTTGCCAGAATATCTAAAGTATTTTAATATCACAATAACTCAAATTAGATTATGACCCCCACTTGTGCTATTGTGTATGGTATTATGAACAGGTAATCAAGATTTTTGAGTAATAAACTTAGTTTAATACTTAAATGGAATAGTTGAAAATAAATACCAAAAAATAAAAGGAACTGAATAAAAAACGTATAAATATCAGGATTTACTTTCGGATTGGGAAGCAGGGGCCGTAGCAGCTGGCTAGCTAGCGGCCACTTTGTCGGAGGGAAATGGGTTCAAAATCGTTAGTGCCGGCCGATTTGTCGACTTGTTTGAAGAATTCAAGCTCTACGCCACTTAAAAGATACCGTATTTCATCTCAGAAATTGAGTTTTAGTCTCCAAATGCGAACCCATCAGCATCTTGCTGGTGTAGCGATATGTAGGGCCTCATCATCAGACCATTCTTGTTCACTGTGCAGGACGATCTGCAAGCTCTGTTGCAGGTACTTCACTTGCTCTCGCTAGATTTTCTCAAACATCATTCACTTCTTTCAAATGCGTGTGGAATTCTTGGAGTTGGTTTGTCTTTTTTCTTTTTTGATGAAGAACAAGTATTACTTGATCATTTTTCTGTTTTTCAACATGAACCATCAGACTTGGATTGGATGTTATGACTGCTAAAGATGTCCAATTTCTTATTTATGTTTGGCGTTTTTCTGTTTGATATTTTATTCTCAATGAGTTGCATCCCTAATGAATTTAATGTAAATACCTCGTCTTCCTCGCAGGTCCTTCCATCTGATTTGCATGACAATCTCCTAAATGAAGTAAAGAGGGATGAACTTTTGGAGGTGAGATACCATTGTGGATTTACTGTCATCCTTTCTCTTTGGAATTATTAAAGATAAACCATATAAGGGGGAAGTAGGGATTATAATTTTCAGTAGCGAACATTCTAAACACTTCCAATCAATATACTCCATAGGATTGGCAAAAGTTATTCTTTGCTCATCGAATTTCTAGAAAGTATTGTAATGCAGTGACATTTATCCTGCCAGATTATGGTATTTGCAACTAAATTTGGTTTTTCCAAATGGCGTTGTTACTCTTCAAAAAACTCTGTCACATGCCTTGAATCTTTTCTGATTCTTTAACTGAAGAACCTCTCACAAGAAGATGACTCTCTTGATTGTAGAAATTTTATAAAAGGATGCACTTCTTTTGGCCTACTGTTTAGGGAATATTAAGAAGTTCAGGTGGCTTCTGTTCATGAGACCTGACTTATTTTGACTACACAGATTAAAGTTTGATACCCCTTCTCTGTTTGATTATTTTAACTACTTAATATTCAGGTAGATGTTGTACAGGCTTGCTAATGTAAAACGGCTTGTTTAGCTCTAAGTGAACCAACGGCGACCATCCATTATAATGTGTTGCCTTCATTTATCAGGTTATATTGGATTTGGGTCGTTTTCCAGAGGCACGTTATCTTGGCCAGGATGGCGGGAAATATATTAGGAAAACTGAGGTAACAAAGCACCTTTTAGACTAAAGGTCATATTTTCTGAAGTTGAATAGTTACTTTCCATTTTCATCTTTGGATTCTATATTTATTTATATCCATTATCCACTTACATGGAAGTCTCGTATGCAGAGTAAATTAAGATTTTATTTTCCTGAATATTCATTCATAATATGTATTAATTTTGAGACAAAATTAACCTTCAAAGGGTTACATGACCATCTGAGAAATGTGTAGCTTAGGTAACAGTGGAAGAGTTGGAACGTGCTCAACAAGCTGTTGGAGAATTTGGGAGGGACAATAGAGCTGGCATTGAGGGCACATTGCACAGAATATCTGCAATCAGAAGTAGGAAAGGTGGCATAGTTGGTTTGACATGTCGAGTTGGGAGGGCGGTTAGTGGCCATATTGACATGGTGTATGACCTGCTTCAATATGGAAGGAGCATTTTATTTGTTGGAAGGTATAACACACTATCAATCAAGCATTATAGTAAGACGTGCTTAAATGCTTCCAAGTTTGGCATTGCAAATTGTAAAGTTTGGTATGATACCTTCATTTAAGAAATTTATTAATATGTGACAAGGGAAAATGTAATAAATGGTGAAAGTCACTTTATCACGTTCTGCTGACTTGCTAGTCCCTAGAAATGTATGTTATATTTTCAAGATTCACCAGGTAAGGTATTATGTACAAGAGCTTAGGTTTTTTTTTTTTTCTTTTAAGTCATTATAATTTGGGTTTTCTCAGGCCTGGAGTTGGCAAGACTACAGTCATGCGAGAGATTGCACGTGTGCTGTCGGGTGAATTTCATAAGAGAGTGGTGCGTTGTTTTTTCAGCATCTTGCAGTACTCTTTCTAACTTGAAATATATTTTGTTCAACTCGTCATTTGAAAAATACTTTCAAATTGGGTAGGTAATTGTTGATACAAGCAATGAAATTGGAGGGAATGGCAATATTCCACATGCAGCAATAGGAAGTGCTCGGAGAATGCAGGTACCTGAGCCATCAATGCAACATAGAGTGATGATTGAGGCAGTAGAAAATCACATGCCTGAGGTGATAATAGTAGATGAAATTGGCACTGAAGCTGAAGCTCATGCTTGTCGGTCAATTGCTGAGCGAGGAATCATGCTTATTGGGACTGCTCATGGACAGCTTCTTGAGAATATCATGAAGAATTCTATACTCTCTGATCTGGTACGCTTTCATCCTTTTATGATTCTGCCATTAGCAACTTGAGACTCTTTCTCCGTTTTAACAAGTTAAGTTCTCAGTTATTTACTTTGTTTATTTTGGACTTCCCATTGTCACGTTCTTGGATATATACTGATGCTTGGAGCTACATCAATTATTGTTTGGTTACAAGTTTTTGTAGCCATTCAGGATTCATTTATTTGATTCGATGTTTGTGGTCTATTCCATTAATAAATTTGACTTAACAACTTGGTGGAAGAAGCATTATACTGTCTTTTCTGACTCCCCTAGGGTGCTCTTCAGCCTTCACATGGCTACTTCAAAGGAGAGTCTTTGTCATTTTCTTTTTGGCTTCTATTTTTTTTTTTTAATTACTGTGGGATGCCTTATCCCCATCCCTTGTAATCTTTTCTTCTGATTATTACACCTTCATATGAGTTAGTTTTATGTTCCTTATTTTATGGCGTGCAATAGTTTCTTCGTATTTTAGAACGTTCCAGAAAAACATGCTCCTAATAAAGTCATCTAAATTTCACATTGAGCGGTTTCAAGTATGGAAGTTAAAGAAGCTCGGTGCAGGAGATTTTGTGGCAGTAAGGAATCTAGACAATTCTTAAATGCAAGATTTACTTCCGTTGGATTTCCCAGATTGGTGGAATACAAGCAGTTACTTTGGGAGATGCAGAAGCCAGGGCCAGAAATTGTCAGAAGATAGTTCTTGAGAGGAAAGCTCCTCCAACATTTGATTTCCTAATTGAGATGAGAGACAGGCACTACTGGATTACTCATCAGGTGTGCTGATTGAACAAATCTTTTATTGTTATTCACTTATTAATCTTTTGATAAGTAAGACATACGTTTGTAACATGCCAGCTGGGCCAAAACTTGGTTTCTATTTGCATACCATCTGAGAAAATTAATGTGATTCTGAGATCAATTCAGCTGATTAGAGTGGCCAATAAATATCCATGTTCCTTTTCAGTTTTATCTTGGCTACTGATTTTCTGGTTCCAAATCCACTAGGAAAACAATGTTTGAGCAAAATGAATTACATATATTTCAACACCAACAAATTGCATTTGAGTGATAGGTGAACGAAAGTTTTGGTTCCAAATTAAACCGAAAAAGACACTCTCTATTCTTTGTTATTATGGAGATGAAATGAAGGTAAAGATAAAACATCAGTAGGCTTTATATTCTATATTTCTTATGTTCTTTAAAATTTTGCAGACAGACAAAAGTGTAGATATGTTGCTTCGAGGAAAGAGTCCACAGGTTGAGGTAATCCTTTAGGAGTCTAGTTGTTTCTTCTGATAATCCTAGTTTGAATATGAAAGATGTGTTTTTTTTTTAATTATCGGATTTTGTTTGGACTAAAATTTTTATAATCGGTATCCATGTCTAGACTTTGGATTTTAATGGGATTTAGGTCATTATGCTATGGATGATCAATGCCTAAGGAACTTTCCATACATTGTTTTAAAAACCGGATTGGATAATAAACCAGAAATATTAGTGGGTCACGGTTTTTATGGTTTAACAAGTTAGATTGATGATTGAATAATTAAATAAAAAATGATATTTATATGCATATATATAAATAAAACATTAAAGATACTAACAATATCATTTCTGGTTCAGAATTGCTCAGTCATAACATTTTTGAATTTTATTTTTCTCATTTTGTTTCATATGTATATATTTTTATTTACCTGATTTGTTATTTTAAAGTAAATGAGTTTTAAATTTTCTCTATACTTTCATTCATATAATGTCAATAAAAAAAATCGTGTACTCAAGATTCTACTATAATAACCAAAATTAAGTTGGCACTATTTTAAAATTGAATAAGAAAGTTATTACTAAAATAAGAGTTAAAGAAAAAGGGTCAAAATGGTCCAATCGTTCTGGGTTTTCAAAAGCTGCTCGAGTTATAGTGGGTTAACTCAAACCAACTACTAGAACAAGTTAAATGGTTAAATCAAACCACTTTCTTCATCAGGTAACAGTTCAACTGTCCGGGTCTCAACATTGCTTCCATGGCTAAAGAATATGAGATGAACAACAAAAGACATTAGTAGTCATTTCAAGGTTCAAACCCGATATCCAGTTTCCTCATTGCGTGGACAATGAAATATTCTTTTGAGTTTCTGTGTCCTGGGGCTCTTCCTGTCATATTTTTATTTGTTTATTAAATATACAACTCGATTCCTTAATAGTATACCTCCTTTCATATTGGCTCTGCAATGTATTACTCCTTGTGAATTAGTCCCTTGAAATATGTGTAGACAGTAGAGTAATAATCCAAGAATTAAATTGTTGAAAGATATATATATATATATATATATGTATAGGAACAGTAGTACGTATTTACTCTATTTTATTTGGGGTCAGAGCTTTTTGACTAATAAATACATATGCTGTGTGCTTCCAATGCACGTTGGCTCCAATGGAAGGGGTCTGAGTGACTGAGTCCCTTAGCCATCGATTCTTGGGTTCAATTCCTAGGGTGATGACAATGGAGATGATGTGCTTGGGAGAGCTACCCCTAGTTGGGGCTTGACCCAGCGGCTTCACTACCGGATGGGTTAATACAAAAAAAATGCTGTGTACGCCCATAATTCTGGATCGTAATATTATCCTTCAAGTCTGTGTTGTGCTTTGACTGATCAAATTATAACTGTGGCTCTGGTTTTGCAGGTGAGGAAAAGGGATGCAAAGTGCAAGGTTGTGATAGAGAAATCAAAACCTTATGATAAATGTATTTGATAATCTCCCTTTCCCCTTATGCATAATATAATATAGAGAGAATCACATTCAAGGACCATTTAAGCAAATTATTAGCATATAAGAACCAATATAGAATGGATTGTTGTTAAAATAAAAATGTGAACTTGTTTTTTGTGAAATGGAATTTATTGTTAATTCTTGTCTGCAATTAATTTGCTTGATTGATCTTTGAATATGATTCTTCTTATAATATATCTCATTTTTTTATCAAAAGATAATATACCTTATTTCTAGAGAAGGTTAATTAGTTAATGTATATTGTCTATGTTTTCCCACATAATGAATCTTTAATTTCAACGCTTTTCACCATTTTTGCATTTTATGATTGGTTAACTTTAAATGTAAATTCTCTACATTGACAGTATTTCTATCTCAGAGAAAGACTAAAAGAGAGAATTTTCAGGAAAATTGTTGAGCTAAACCTTTTGATTAAAGTTCAGAATATAGATTGACAAGGGAATGCTAATATCTATACAATTTTTTGCCCTTTTCTTTTCTTTTATCCCCCTCGTAATGGAAAGTTGGTGGTGAGAACATGTGATCTTTCTTGGTAATATACCATGTATTAGAAAAAAAGATGGAATGACATAAAAGAAATAACATTTTTATAGGACTAACTTCTGTTTTTCTATTCTATATTTTTCCTAAATGGTGTTGCGCATATATTTGTTAAAGGCAAATGGTCAAAATTGATTAGGGCTTTGTTGTAAAGTGAAGATTAAAACTTGGCTAATCACTCATAATTCTTCTTAGGATATAATATAATGGAGAAACAACGCTCAGGTCGAGAAAATTTAATAACGAGTAGATGTTAATATTTAATATGCATAAAATAGAAGAAAATAATACAATTCCATTGTACTTTTACATATAATTTTCTCCTTTAGAAGTTTGCTTTAGGTACACACAAAATAATTCTTCACGTGTGTGTCTCATGACAAGTGTTTCGGCCCAATATTTTGATAGATAACTTAACGCTTGTGCAAAGTCAGCCCAAAGAAAGGGGAAAAAATCATTTAGTGTAAATGATTTTAGTAAAAAATCAAACTGAAAAATTCCCAAAGCCAAAAAGGCGCTTGGTTAAAATTTCATGTCACAGAAAATTATGAAAATTGGAAGAAAATGGCATGAACAAATCAAATTCCTGTCTTCTTTCTTTCTTTGTCCACCAACTGCAAAAAAGATTAGAAATGAGTGATCCAAATTAAAAACGGATAAATGTTATGACGAAAGTTGTAAATTATAACTGTCCATGTCCATGGCGATTGTAGAGGGACGTGAATCCAAGCCCAAGTTCCCAGAAGTTTCTCGCTTTGTGTCAATGGCCGGTGTGGGCATAATCCCAACCCAATCTTTGCTTTTCTCGGGAACCAAACACTCTCTCCATCTTCCTTCCAGAAGGAGAGGCGTTGCGGCAGTACGAGCTGAAAGTATGACGATCGAGAAATTAGGAATCAAGATAGAGAGAAATCCTCCTGAGGACAAACTTACACAACTTGGCGTTAAGCAATGGCCCAAGTAACAATGCTTATTTCTTCATCGTCTTCCTCTTTCTGTTTCACTGTCACGTTCAATTTTACATGTATACGCAGGTTTCTTTCAGTTGAAATCTATTATGTTGGATGGAAAGTCCCTTTTTGTATTGGCCTATGTGATTTGGGTTGAGGAAAGTTTTGCTTTTCTTCATGTTGGGTCAGTGAATAACCCTCCTCAGGTCAAAATCTCTCAACTTGATTTTAGGCATTGATGCAAGTAAAGCTTATTTCGGTATCATCTTGCTGTTTCTTTTTCACTATTAAGTTGTGTAGGTTCCTTGACTTGAAAATTTTTCTATAATTTCTTGGAGTCTGTTGTAAATCCCTTAACAAATTGGCTTGTGGAATTAGGGGTGGCGATTTTTTCTTTTTCTTTTTCCTATATTTGGTGAATGAGTTGTGCTGTATTTCTCTGTTTTTTCCTGCCATGTTCCTCAATTTTGTAGTGGTTTTGACCTGCTAACCTGAATGCATCCTTCAGTCATTGTAATATACGCTAACATCAGAAAATTTATTATATTAATATGACACAGACGGCTGAGAATCTTCGGATCTTGTGACCATTAATTCTTATTAAATAGTGAAATTTTATTGTTTCCACACTATGAACTATTTTTACTTCAAAAAACTGATTATTGTCCTAGTCTGACTTTTGTATATGTACTCTGGATCTCCTGCACATATGGAGGTATGCTCACAGAATGCATCTCTCTCCTAAACTATACAAATTTGTTTTGGACGGTTGAGATCTTATTGAATTAGGCATGATCTGACTTTTCTGATGATGATACATGGATACTTTATATTTTATCATGTTGCAGTGCAAGTGTTATGCAAATTTTTTTCGTTGTCATCAATTCCCCTGAAAATTCTTTCATGTATGATCAAAAGATGAATGAGGAGGACTTTGATGCTTACTAGCATCTTACACTTGCTGTCATTTTGGATGCCTGGGATCAGATGCTAGAGTAGAATATTGGAACTGAAGTAGGAAGTGCATGACATTTAAGATTCTTAAGGTCTTGTTTGATTGTTAGAAAGGATGGGAATGGAATGGATTGCAAAAAAATCGAAACAACAATGAACTAAATCACCCTTCCTCCTTATGATAAGCATGAGAAAATTCAACATTATACATTACAATTGTAGAAATTATTACACTTTCTAAAAACCTCATAAATCATGACTTCGAATCCATGAAGTAAATTCTTTAGGACAACTGTGAGATTAGGTTCAGATTCAAGCATTCACTCGGACCTGATTGGGAGTAGCTTATATATGGGTAATTTCTTATCTCCCGGGAGGGAGACCCCCCCCCCCCAAAAAAAAAAAAATTGAAGTGTATCTTGAAAATCCCAGTTCTCTTTCTAATTCCTTATTTAGTAAGATTAGAATCACAAAGTGCACCAACCGGCTAAAAGGTTCAAACTGTTGAAACACAAAGCTCTCCAATTAGGTAGTATCCGTTACTAGGTCAGGTCTGAGTATTGTTGGACTTAAATGCATATATGATTGTTGGTCACATCTTGATGTGTACAGGTGGGGATGCCCTCCGAGCAAATTCCCATGGACTTATGATGCCAAGGAGACATGCTATCTGTTGGAAGGGAAAGTGAAGGTGACACCCAGTGGGTCAAATGAAGCTGTGGAGATTGGTGCTGGTGACTTGGTTGTGTTCCCAAAAGGGATGAGTTGCACTTGGGATGTCTCTGTTGGAGTGGACAAGCACTATAAATTTGACTAAAATAAAAAAATTCCATTTCCATTAGGGATTCCTTATATATACACACTAAAAGATTTAATTATTAGCTTGCTGTGAGCTGGTTTCAAGATAGGCACTCTGAGGTAAGTTATATGAGCATTTGTAGCTGTGTTAAGACTTGATCACTAGAGTGAAGACTTGGCTTCTTCATTGCCGGTTGTTAATGGGCATGCGATTCTGTCTGTCTTGATTGAAATGTCAGTCTGCATCATACTTTTTTTTTTTTTGAAGAAAATAAAACATAAATCATACTTATTAAACATAAACAATTAATGTATTGAAAAAAAGCAAGATAAGCGTGGTGCTGTTGGAAAGAATCCTCAACGATCAAAAAGCTAATTTGGATAGGGAATAGAACCAATGTGAGTGCCAAATCATGCATTATATTCCGTATTTTATGTTCATCTGTGTTTTTCTGCAGATGGCATTTTATTAGGCCAAAATATGATGGCTCTTTACAGAATAATCTTATCTGACATATAGAAAAGCACATGTCCATCAATATTTATGGAACGGTAAAACCAATAGTGCCATTGTGGGATCCTCAAATGGCTTTTTGTAATGTCAAATGGGGAAGGAGGAGAGACCGAGGGGATTATTAACCTGCTTTTTATACAAACAAAAATTACTTTGGTTGGCCTAGATAGTTAAAGATATAAACCATACTTTGTAAATAACTAGAATTTGGCTCCTTTGCCGTGCATGGAGTGAGTTTAAATTTTGGAAAAATTGATCTTTTGATTCTCCAATTTTTAATTCATTTGTAATTCAATTTCTCAATTATGACTCGTTGTGATTTAGTCCCTCAATTATGACTCGTCTATGACTTAGTTTTTAACTTTTGAATTATTTACAAATTAATTCTTAAATTTTTGTTAATTTTTTTTCATGTTAGCTTATATCTCACATCAATGAGTAAGAGGAGGGTATTTTAGAATAATATATGAGTATTTTTTTATTCTCTTATTTGATAAGAAATTTTTTTAAAAAAATTAAAAAATAAGGACAGAGTTTTAGGTGAATCAAAAATTGAGGAATTGAGTTGCAGTGAGTTATAGTTAAGGGATTGAGTTATAAGTGAGTTAAAAGTTGAATGATTAAAAGATTAATTTTTTTTAAAATTTTTATTGGAAGAGGGTGATCACATTTAATATTTAATCCTATTTTAAATAGGATTTTCTTCAATTCAAAAAACATTTGTGTGACAAAAATGTCAATTTAATTGAATATACTTTCTCTATTAAAAAATATAAAATATTTTTTGAGGGGTTGATGTTAAAAATTATAAGGTATTTTTAGTGTTTTAAAGTGTAATTAATGTACTTTTTTTAAAAGTGTTTACAATAAATAAATTATTTTATATTTATTTTAAAATAAAATGGCAAAAATATTTAAGAAGTCATCAATTAAAAGCATTTAACAGCTTAAAATGAGAAAAAGTATATAAGTATAGTATTCATGGAGCTATTTTTTCAGTGCATTTGTGACCAAATTGTTACTACAGCATAATGGTCACAAATGATTTGGTCACAAATGTATTAAAAAAAATAACTCCATGAGCATTCTTGTATTTTTTTTTTTAATTTTAGGTTATTGAATGCTCTTGGATGATGTCTTTTTGGATGTTTTTGCCTCACAATCCTTTATTTTAAAGTGAAATACTATATTAAGTGAAGTAAGTACAAAAAAATGATATAAATTTAAAGATAAGTAATTATTTTATTGAGGAACCAGATTCGATTAAAAATATTTTATATTTTTTAATAAAGAGAGTATGTGTGTGTATTTAACTTTTGAAAGTTCAATGAGAAAATATAGTGCAAATTATGAAATTAGTTGTAGTCTATGTGAGTTCCTCAACAACTTAATAATTTTGATACTGTGTGTCATTTAAAATAATGATTTTTTATTTATAACAATATTATCCTATATGGGCAAATTTATTGTAGCTAAAATAATTTTTATTTACTAAAAAGCTACACTTTCAAAAATACTATTTATCAAGAGTGCATGTCTGATACAAAAGAAAAATTAGAACTTGGCATTTTAGAACGGATATCAACTAATATTATTTTGCTGAATATTTTTGAAAGTTGCAACATCTTGGTCAGTAACTGTTTTTTTTTTGCATGATGGTAAATTTGCCCCATATTTGCGTGTGTTCTGTGCGGGGTTAGCCTCATCCACGTGGCAGCATTGGTACCGTTCATCTGACTAACGGCTGTAAGCTTCAGCCGCCGCCGGGTGCCACTCCACCTTATGCCCTCGCCGCAGAGCCGGAAAACCCGAGCTGAATCCAGCGGGTTAGTTCGCTTAGCCGCCAACATTTGTCAGTCGAGCTTGAAAAATTGGTCTTGTTCGGCTCGGCCCACAAAATGGGGGCAAAATGAGCTAAGCCGTTTTTTTTTTTTTTTGTTTTTTTGCGCTTTTTATTTTTTTTTTATTTTTCCTAATTCATAATCCCAGCGCCTCCGGCGTCCAGGCTCCACCACTCCTCTCCCCTCCAGTCTCGTCTTTCGCATTTCGGTCTTTCTCCTACTCCTCAATTTACTGTTTGCTTCACTTATCGTCGTCGACCTCCTCCTCCGAACTTCCGACCTCCACCGTCTGTGACTGTGCGACGGCGTCGTCCTGGTGGCTGGTGCATCTCGCTGTCGTTGCGTGGGTGTGAGTGTGTGACTTCACCTCAGGCTCACGGCTAAGTGTGTGCGTGGCGGCGACGTCCCCTCTCCTTTCCTCTGCTGGAGATACCGGCGTCTGTGTGTGTGAGTGTGACCTCGAGGGCTCTGAAATCGTCGACCTCGTCTGTGCGCGTTAGGTGCTTCACTCGGGGTCACGCCTTCACTGGTTCAGATTCCAGCGTCACTGGTTCACTGTCCACGTCACTGGTTCAGATTCCGGCCTCGTTGGTTCCCTTCCTTCATTCACTGGTTCTGGTACGGTGGTTCCGCAGTCCCTGGTCTCGGCTTTTCAGGTGTTTTTTATTTTCCAATCTTGTAGTTCAGCCAAATGCTGAGATTATACCCCTAGCTGAATGAAGATTGAAATATAATAGGGAAGTGATGATGATATTCGAAGGTGAATTTGGCTGTAAAGGTATTCTTATTCTATGGCAATCTGTTCCAACTCAAGGATACATATATCAGATTGTGTGTGTGTGTGTGTGTTTGTTGCCACTCATCTTCAGAAATCTTGTGTGCTAAAATAAATGTAAAAAAGCTAAAGAAAAAAGGCACATTTCGGCGGGCTAACTCGGATTTATTTTCTAGTGTTGCAAATAGAGACGAAAGTAAAACAAGGTGGCTGGTTTTCTCCTTCTGTTCCTCTCATTCTGTTAGTGCTTATACTTGTAGTCTGATTTGTGAATCCTGGTTGTTTTTCTTTGTAATTGATATTTTTTCAGTGCCTACTGGAGATCCCATGATCCAGAGACCGCCTGTAGATTCTTCTTCATTATGGAATTTATCTTATAAAAGTGAGTTACTTTTTCCTTTCATATCGTTAAGTTTTTAGTTAATGTTACTAAGAAACAACTTGAGTTCAGTTCCCAGTAGAGGTGCTTAAATTCATGTGTAGAGAAACTGAACATGTTATGATGCTCTTATTCACTGCTGCCAATACTACGAGATTTGTCTTCGGACATGCAACACTTAGTTTCGTGTAGTTGTAATGTACCATTTCAGTAGAATGGAGGTTATTTGAGATGAAATCTGAAAGAGTTTTATCTTGTTGAGGAACTTAATTTTGTAGAAGATTGTTTTGAAACTTTTGCTAAATAAAGGATAAATAAGATTTGTCCTGCATTATTTTTTCATGCACAATAATGGCAATACTTTTTTTGGGTCTTCTACAGACTACAGAGAACAAAGGAATAATTTGGTTGAGCTATTTAATCAGTGGTCAAATTCGCTTGTACAGTGTACAGTATGACAGCAGCTTGGTGTTGTTTTCGCTTGCTGGCATGGTTATCAGCTTTTTAGTTGAATTCACATCATTCTTGAGTAGCACATGCTTCTTTGGCAAATGACACATTCACTATTGTCCTCCCACCTCAGATATTGATAAAATAATGTGAAAAGTGAAATGTGTAAAGTATCTATTCCTTGTCTCAAATCGACCAAAAAACCTAGTATTGAACTATATGTCAGAACAAAATTATTGCACGGTACTCTTTAAATTAGAGTCTATCCCCTCTGTTGACTCTGCCCAAACTATTATCATTGGTATATCCACGACTTCAGGGCGGCAATACTAAAAGCTTGTGCCCCTTTAACCTACCATGCTACTTCTTATGATGAGACTTTCAATGTCCAGGTGCGTGCCCAGGCATGGAGCTTTTGAGGCCACAACTTTCGACTTCTGAGCCACATGCTCTTAGATTGAAGGTTTTATGTGCCTTTTCATTTACATTTTTCTTTAATTGACTACTTCAGTACTAGTTATGCTTGTTGCTATTCCCAAAATATTGTTTCATCACGTTAGGAAGTGTAATAATATATATCTGATTAGAAGCAATATATTGTCATTATTCCTAATATTAATTAACCAAGGATTGCTGGAAAAATTATAAGCCTTCCTCCCATCTCTTAGAAAGTGCTTCTAGTCTTCATAATTGTTGTCATCCTTCAATCTATCTTCCCAACAGCTTAGTTGGAACTGTTATTCCCCTGCCATGATTCGAATGTAAACTTGAGTTTCGTCTTTATTGCAGTTAGGGTGCGAAAAAATTTACAACGACAGATCAATGCTATCTGGAAGTTTTCTATGTGCCAGTCAAAAGCCCAGAGGTGATAAAACTGTGAATAAAAGGCTACCCCAAAATGTTGATTTCCCATCCGTGTTACCTAAGAAAAAGAAAAAACCATACCCTATTCCCATTAAGGAGATCAAACAAGCTGCAAGGGAGGACAAAAAACTTGCACAAATGGGAATAGAGAAACCTCTTGAGCCTCCAAAGAATGGATTACTTGTGCCAGACCTAATTCCTGTTGCCTATGAAGTATTTGATGCTTGGAAACTGCTAATTAGAGGTCTTGGACAGCTCTTGCACATTATTCCTGTACATGGCTGTAGGTATACTGTGTACACTTCCAAAATTCTGTTTAAAGAGTCCTAGTTGGTTGCCTTGTCTTCTCTTATTTTAATGATGATAGTCCAGTCAAATAATTAAAAAATGCAATGTAAGACTATATAATTTTAGCCAATGTTTCATGCAGTGAATGTTCAGAAGTTCATGTGGGCCACTCAGCTCATCACATTCAGAGTTGCCTTGGTCCTACCAGTGCACAGCGTCATAGTTTCCATGCATGGGTCAAGGCTTCTATCAATGATGTGCTAATCCCCGTTGAGTCATACCATCTCTATGATCCTTTTGGTCGGCGCATCAAGCATGAGACACGGTTTGATTATGACCGGATTCCAGCTGTTGTGGAGCTATGCATTCAAGCTGGAGTAGAAATACCAGAGTACCCTTCACGTCGAAGGACCACACCGATAAGAATGCTAGGGAAGAGAGTCATCGACAGAGGTGGGTATGTTGAAGAACCTAAGCCATGGTGCACAGCAGATCCCTCTGCACTTATTGAATTCGATACTTACCAAGCTTGTGACCGATTCCCACCCCCGCCAATGTCAGACATATCTAGAATTGCCCAGGAAACGATCAACGCGTATGAAACTGTCAGAAAGGGAGTCAGAACGTTGATGAAGAAATACTCAGTGAAGGCGTGTGGATATTGTTCAGAGGTTCATGTGGGGCCATGGGGTCACAATGCCAAGCTCTGTGGAGCATTCAAACACCAATGGAGGGATGGGAAACATGGCTGGCAAGATGCAACAGTGGAGGAAGTTTTTCCTCCAAACTATGTGTGGCATGTGAGATATCCTGCGGGACCTCCCTTGAGTGGTGCTCTGAAAAGATTCTACGGGAAGGCTCCGGTTGTGGTTGAAGTGTGCATGCAAGCCGGAGCAGAGATTCCTGATGAATACAAACCCATGATGAGACTTGACGTTGTAATCCCTGGTGCTGACGAAGCTAAACTGATTGCATGATTGTGTTCATGTGCTGTACCACTTCAAGGGCTAGTTGCTAGTGTGTCTAGAACGTGGAGATGTTACTTTGGGTTTTGTCTGATCAAGTCTTTTTTGAATAATTAAGGAATACGCCATATATAAATATAAATAGTTCCGAGTTATGAATGATCTGTATGCTTTATTTTTTAAATTTTATGTAATTTAAGGAAAAAAAAACGTAGATAATTATGAGAACTGAAATCGTTCATTGGTGAAGCTTGCGTGGAGTGTTCTTTACCATGAACCATCAAAATTTAATAGAATAGCTTTTCATAGTTTAATTAGTTAAGTTCTCTCAAACGAGTCCATTATTTATTCAGCCAACGATGATTCAAATTTGAAAAAACATAATTTTAAATGCTTGTGCTTTATTCATGTGTTGTTATAAATTGTTGTACATTTTTTTTAAATATTTTAAATTTATACATTTTTATTTTTTAATATTTTAAATCTGTAAATGAATAAAGTATAGGAATTTTAAAGGAATTTAAAATATTAAAAAATAAAAATATAAGAATTTTAAATATTAAAAAAGTGTAGAGATATATAATAAATACAGTTAAATGTAAGAACTTAAAATTATATTTTTTTTATATTTTATGAAGATAATTGTCCAAAAAACATTATTATAAAGATAAGATTTATTCAGCTATCTTCAAATTTATTGCCAAATTTTTCAATAAGAAGCTCCAACGAAGGTACGCTAGAATAATTCTGAAACATCGGTTTTCTGGGCCAACAAAAAAAGTGATGATTTATTTAATATATTGCTTCTAACTCTGACTCTCAGTTCAAACTGTACAAATGGCAAAAGTGCGCGAGAAGACATTATTGCTTCATGACCTGAATCAACTCATCAACCTCCACAAGTCCACACTTAACAGAAAGGGACAGAACAGAATAATCATCAAACTGAAGCCGAAATGTGGAAGGCGATAAGACGCCTTTTTGCAAATCAAACCCTTTTGCTGCTTCTACCTTTAATTCCTTTGCTTTACTCTTTGCTGTCCGTCAGGCTCATCCCAAAGAAGGAAACTGCTCCGGTAACTACTGAGATTTTCGGAGTCAAGATTGAGAAGAATCCTCTTCAATCCAAACTCACTGAGCTAGGAGTCTCTACTTGGTCCACGTATGCTTCTTTTACCCTTCTTTCCCTCGCTTTTTTTTCGCTTCTTTGGCTTTTTGTTAGTTCTGATTCGACTTATTTTACTTTCGCTTCCGCGTGTTTCGTCTGCTTGAGGAGTTTTGACATGACAAATAGGGCTTTTGTATGTTCGGTTTGGTGAGAAAAAGATAATGTTTCAGTTTAGGCTTTCGTCAATCCACTGATTCAGGCATAGCTTGCACACTGATAGGTCTTCTTGACAAAAATCTTGTCTCAGTGTTCGGTGGTTCTGTATAGGAGAATATGATTTTCTTTCAATCCGATCCAACATCGTTGGTATGGTATCATTTCAGAATTTTTAGAAGGGTGAAATTGATAAGAGATCATATGTGCTTGAAGACACTAAAATGTCACGAAAGATCCTTAGAGTGTGAAATTGATGATCAGACAAATTTTTGGATTAAAAAAATTGTTTTTGTTACAAGTTCTTTTTCCCAACCAGAGCGGTTTCATATTTTTGTTTTCTGTTCGGTGATGGTTTACGTTCTCTTGGTTCACTATACCATCTTCAGTCCAGAGATTTGAGTTTTAAGGAGTGCTTCACATGAATAAAATTTTAAGAGTAGTGTCATGAGCTGAAGCCATTGAGAAGCTTATGCAATTGCTTCATCTCGTTTTATTTGTGTCTTAAGGGATTCAACAGAGAGACATGTGAAAGTCGAATGGATAGATGAGAAATAAAAAATTTAGTGAAAATTATGGTTTAGCAAATCTTTCTTTGTCCACAAGTTATTGATAGCAACAACTCTTTGAATAGATGAACGAATTCCAGACAATTCTGTCTGCTGATGAGGTTTGTTTAGTTTGAGCAATACAAATCCAAAAAGAAAAAGTGATCAACTTAGAGTTGGATAGATGAATTTATAGATTACAGGATACACATACATTTCTAATCATGAAAGTCATATGATTTATGCTTATATGTCTTTGACGTTATGATTGGCACGCAAAATCTTCAAAATAGATAGAAGGGAAAGGAAATGTGATAGGAAACGAACCTTATACCCTTACATAAATGTATAATAATATATATATATATATATATATATTATTTAAAAAGGACACACCATGTTTCCAATCTCAAATTCTCACTCCCCTGGTCCAGCAAGCACACCCTAACTACCAACTAGTTCGATGAAGCATTCAGAATCAGACACAGTAAGATACTTCAAATTTTAAGATGTTGAGTTTTTCAGATTCTTGATACTGCAACTGTAAATGTTCGTCAGTGCAGAAAAGAAGCCATAACTTACTCATTTGAGTCATGACAAACATGAATCTCTACGTGCATTGTGATATCTGCTGTTGGTTTTTCTGTCATTTTGACGCATTTGTTACACCCCCAATAGGTGGGAAGGCGGTCCAACCAAAATCCCATGGTCATTCAAAGCTAAAGAGACCATGTATCTGCTAAAGGGAAGAGTGAAGGTCACAGTTGATGGACATGGTGATGATGGATCTTTTGAAATTGGGGGTGGTGACTTAGTCGTCTTCCCTAAAGGAATGAACATCACTTGGGAAGTAATTGAAGCTGTAAAGAAACACTACAACTTGGAAAAGGAAATGTAACTGGTGCTTCCATATAAATAAGGCCTTAGACTGCAATATGTAATGGCTGGATCTTGCCCTCCATGAACTTTGACAAAATGATTGCTTTCTATTCTATGGCTAAAGTTGCTAGTTGCTGTAGGAATGTAATCAATGATGGATGTTGAGATGATTTTGGAGTGTTCATTTGCCCATTTTTTTCTTGGGGCTCTTTTGCATTACCTTTGCTTGGCAATGAAAGGAGTTGATGTGTGATTAGTATAAGTAAAATATTAAATGAATAATAGGTAGTAGGTGCAATCCAGAGTCAGGATCCTCTCAAGGAACTTTCAATTGCCATTTTTTTAGAAGTATGTTTTAAATTTAGAAATCAAAAAGTTCAAAATCTAGATTGTCTAAACTTTTAATTAGATTTGCACATTTTATATCTCATTTTGGGTTTGAGCTATGTTATGTTTGCCTTTGAAAACAGTTGAAAGCAGAAAATCAATATTAACCTTATTGTCATTTTTTTTAATGTTCAAAATCTTTTAGAGTAGAAATGTTAGTTGAAAATGAAGTAAACTCTATATCGATTAGATTTGATGTGGATGATTCAAAAAAAAAAAAAAATCATTTTGTTCAACGTTAAGATAAATAGAGAATCAATTCATCTTGGGCGTCAAAGAGTGGAGTGGCTGAAATTTCAAATAAGCAGAGTATAAAATTTTTTAATGTATTCAAACAATGAATTTAACTTAAATTCAAATTCAAATTCTCATAAATCCTAACATAATTCTTAAGACGCTGAGAAGGGTTTTACAAACAGCTGCGACATGAGAAGGCATAAATTCCATGAAGAGAAACTTCCTAAAGAGCTAAGATATAGATTATAGGAAGAGAGGCAAGCACGTCAAGACTTTCTAATCAACTTAATTTTTGTGAACAGAGCCATGGAAAGAAAATAATTGCTCGTCTAAGAATTCAAGGTCATATTAGCTAACATTTATCCTTCGAGAAATCACTCCTACATAGAAAGAAAATCAATTCTTCGCTGAGACCTTAATATTTCTTCTTTGGTGGTGTAAAAGTGCTTCCTAAATTAGCAACGATACATCTTTTTTCCCCCCTGTTCCTTTTATTTATCTTTCTATTTCCTTCCTATCCAAGAAACTCGAAAGAAGCTATGCTGTTATGCAAGGAATAATTACAGCAGATCATGTCTGTGATCTTTACAAAATAACAATGACAAGGATAAATTATACCCTTCTTCACGACCATAAATACAGAATTCTGTCACATGCTCATGGCCCTCTCTGTTTCCCCCTCTTGCACATCTGATTCAGCTACCTCACCATTGACCTACACAAAAAAATGAACTTGATCAATTATATGGAATCTTGTGATCCTGTGATCAATTTTAACTAGTTATAAATCAGCAGCAGATAACAATCAGGTATACAATCATACCACTGAATCCTTCATCTTCGCAAGGTAATCCTCCAAAGCACCTTGTCCACGAAGAATTTTGCCTCCACATCCCAAGGCATCTACTGATCCAACCGACTCCTCATCGACGACTACTGCATCGATCCGATCATTCCCAGTCCTAACATCAGGAATCTGGTCCATATACGCATTGAATATGTCAGTAGAGAACCAGAGAAATTGATGATTCTTAAAAGAGTCTTGAGGTAACCAGGTCATTTGGGGGGAAAAAAGAATCTCCCAAACCTCAAACATGGCATCAGTTAGGATGCTTTCCAGTATGGCTCTTAAACCCCTGGCGCCAGTGTTCTTGGCCATTGCTTTCTGTGCAATCAATCTGAGTGCCTTCTCCGTGAAATGAAGCTCAACCTGAATCGCACAGGGAGAAATTCACTCATACCAAGCTATCTTACCGCTCACTCTTGACCCTCACAAAAATGACTGGGTGAATCATTAGGAAATCAAAATCAAAAGCAAATAAGCATATGCTAGAATTGAACGGCCAAGATTGGAGGGAAGAGAAGAACAGAAGAGGGGTTGCAGACACAGATTGAGGTTAAGGGATACTTACATTATTCATTCCAATTAATTTCTTGTACTGCTTACCAAGAGCATTCTTTGGTTCTGTGAGGACCTGTCAGGCCAATAACATTTCTATAAATACAATGATGAGATATGTATTCAAAATGTAAAAGAACTTTAGCTCTTTCCTCAAGTTTTGGCTTGCCCATTTTCATGTACAATTAATGTACAATTAAAGAAATCCAAACTCTAGACCAACATAAACACGTTGCTGCATGAGGCAAACTCGCTGATACCCTCCGAAAGCTATGTAAGAGAACAGAGGAGCATGGAAACTGATACTAAAATGTATTTTTCACCTTTAAATGAGTTATATCATGCATTAACCAAACCGATACAGACTTCAAAAAGAACGTCAAAAGCTACTGGTATGGATACCCACAAGAGTTTCAACACTGCAACCCCACAACGCATAAAATGATATAATGGTACAGCTTCCAGCAACTAAATTTACACAAATCACAGCAGCAAATGGCGAAGCACCAAAACAGTAGTTAAGACAAACACAGAACTGAGGATCACGAAGATGATCATTGGCTTTTGAGAGGCCAAGCCTCCTCCAGGTCTCAAAGTTTTTATCTTCTCCCATTACGTTCTTCCTTTAAATACTTCCCAACTACACTTATCAAGTATCAACTATCACTCCTCCATCAAGGCTTCCCTTTTTTACTTGGGTAACGATTGCGGACACATAAGGCATCATATATAGGCTATTGTCAGTAGAGACAAATCAACAGAATGATAATCGTTGTGTAACCATATATCCCGAGAGCACTTGAACAGTTTTTGAGAAAATATGAGAAGCATTGATCATATGACGACAAATGATATCTTTCAAAAATAAAGGAATACCTGCACAAGCTGATCTTCTGTTAAGGCGGATAAACTAACTAAAATTGGAAACCTTCCAATAAACTCAGGTATGAGACCATATGCAATCAGATCAGAACTTTCCACCTGAAAATAGCTACTGCAAATTTTAGATAACTTGAAGGTTATAATTTATAAGAATTTTATTCTTTTACTTATGTATTTTGTTGGGACTAGTGGGGCAAGAAAATGCAGGGCAGCAAGGCGACTTACTGCATGAAATGTGAGCCTTAAGTAATTCAAGTATTTATTCATGAAATCAGGATAACCAAAATAAGTTAATGATAATCTTAATCCTCACCGACTCAAGTAATGCTGATGTTACTTCAACATTTATTACTCTATTGGTTCTCATATTTGCACGAACTGGAGCTCCAAAACCAATAGAAGAATCCTGTCGTCTGGTTTATTTCAAATATAACTTAATGTTAAAAAGTATTCTGATAGAAATCAAGACACACTCCGAACAAATATGGAACAAATATTCTGGGCAATGCAAAGGCAAAATATTTACCTTTCTGATATTGTTTTATCAAGGTCAATGAATGCTCCACCACATATAAAGAGAATATCCTTTGTGTCAATCTGCATATAAAAATAGTGTTCTTAACTACTTGTCACTACCAAAACTTCCATTTTTGGTCCCCACCAAAAAAATTGAGATCCATATGTCACTCGATAAAACTTTCAAGATTGAATTGACAGCAAATGCCTTTACGAATTTCCTTATTTTTCCTCAAAAGAAAGGAAAGATCAATTACATCATAGAAATATATATTTCTAATAAACATCATGATTCAAAACTACAACAAACAATATGCAATTTGAGAGTAAAGTTCTTCTAATCAAAGCCATGAACAAACAAGAAATGAAAAAGCAAAGGAAAATGGCTACTCTTTCAAAAGCACATACCTGTATGTTATCACCCCGTGGATGCTTCCTTGCACCTTTTTCAGGAACATTTACTATCTAGACAATAAGATATCATCCCAAGTTTAGCGTTCTGTTTTTTTTCAAAATAAAATATCTTTTCAAATATATTTATAAGAAAAACTCTAGTTTGGAAGAAAATGAAAATAATATAAGAACAGAAAGCACCTCATAGAAACAATGTTACCTAATGTGGATTATCAGAGCAAGTATCTGCAAACTAAAATTACATACAATTTGTACGCTGGCTAATAAAGGCAGTTCCACCATGAATCTTAGTCTCAAAAAAATACCCAGGACCCACCATGAATCTTATCCAGTCTTAAATAACTGACATTTCAGGCCCAGTATATAAAAGAAAAGGCATTCTTGTGTACATGATTACAAGGACTCATAAGAGGGGAAAATGTAAAGAATAAGTTAATTCATCATGTTTCAATTAAAAAGTAGATATTCCAATCAGTAACAACTACAGTCGGGAATTAATTTACTTACTGTTCCTTCCAACATTTTCAGTAGTGCCTGCTGAACACCCTCGCCAGAAACATCCCGACTAATATTTAAGCTTTCAGCCTGTAATACACCATAACATTTAAAACAGATACGATGGATGTATAATCATGTATTTGTCCAGTCAAATAAACAAGGAACCTTCTTAGTTATCTTGTCAACTTCGTCAATGTAAACTATCCCTTGTTGAGCAGCTTGAACATTGAACTCAGCTGCCTACATTGCAAAATTGACCAGCACAGATATGAAATTTATGTAGAACCATACTGACACCAGATATGAAATTTATGTAGAACCATACTGACAAGTAGAAACACCATAAAATTACATCTTTCAAGATAATTTTAGAGCAAATACGGAATAAATAAAGCACAATTAGATATAAAAGAATCTAATAAGCAAAGAAAATACTTCGAGCTTTATCATCCTCCCCCCCCCCCAAAAAAAAGGGCATAAATACTCCAATCTTCAAAGGTATCTTGGAGGCTTGGTGGCATACAAGACGGTTGTGTTTGGCACACATCAGTATCAAAGATGCTGGTTTCATTCAACATAAAAAATTATCCAGTCCATTATCATCTTGACCTTAGATATCTTGGAGGCTTGGTGGCATACAAGATGGTTGTGTTTGGCACACATCAGTATCAAAGATGCTGGTTTCATTCAACATATCAAGATATCATAAGATTACGGATGATAGCAGAAGGGGGAGTGGGAAAAGGGGAGGGGGCAAACAACTATTCACTTTAGCACAATGAAGGAATGAGCCCAGAACCACATCTCAAGTCCCAAGTGCCAACAGAAGGGGCAGTACACAGGAGGATGTTTGCCCCGTGGCCATTCTTTGGGGGCTGAAGACCTC